TTGAATTGAGATATATCTCCAGAAAATGACTACACCACCTCAGGAAAGCAAAATCGCTCGACAAAATATATGTTTTTCTTAATGAAGAGATTCAGCTGAATCGAATGATGCAAAAAAATTTATATGTTAGTTGTATGTTAATTCATATGTTATTTAGTAACCTCCTAAATGCGTTTCCAAAAAGAATTCAGGAGTCGCTTGGCAAAACTTGAGTCTTGAAAATAGACACTCTTTAAAATTCTCCTCTCGTTTTCATTTCTCATTAATGTTTCATCGATTCTTTGCAGACAACCACATGAATTATATCAGACAGCTGTCATCACTAATCGCATCATTTGAACACTTCACGCAATCAAATCCTCTTTCTGTCTCTCTACAGAAAGCACAAGATCAATGAAGTGCAATATCTTTAGCTGTGATAAACTCAATGATTAATTGATGACAGAAGTTGACTGAGAAGTAAGCTGAGGCTGAGCATCATTATCTTCGTAATACATTAACACCTTATCACGAACAGTTCAGCGCACAAGCGATTGAAACATTTTATACAGCGCTTCTGTTAGACATTAATGCCACTCACATTGAAAGATACAATCTTTGGATTGCTAATTTACCTTTCTCTAATTGACGTAATAAAATTTACGCAAATAAACAAAATTCTTCGTTTATGATTGCAATCTTAGAGCCAGTGTTGCTTTTGTTGGTTTTGAGCACACCGAGCTGTTTGGTACTATGCGATTGTTTCGATGTACTGACCGGTCGACGCTATCCAGAGAAGTCCGTATGGGTTCGGAGTGAATTCTTTAATGTGACCTGTGAGAATGGACGAATGAAGGTTTGCTGTTTAACGATCGCAATTTCTTTCACTATAAAACGCATAAGATCAAGGAAGTGGATGCTTACTTGAACTCTGTTTTCTATTCTAAATAACTTTTTTGACTGATTTGTAATGGGCAGCATCACGACAGCCTAGTTAGTGGCTGATTGCTTTCGATTCTGATCAGTTAAGATACGGTTTTGAGATGCGGGAAATCCGAGATTAGAAAATTTTCTGAAGGACACGGAATTGGAGATGCTCACAATGCAGACTAAACCAGTCGTGAGATGCAGTGAATTGTGTGGAGTTACGTTAAATTTCTGAAAAACTATTATCATTTAATTGCAGGTGTTAAATTGTATCAGTGATTTTGGAACGAGGATTCCGCTTCAGACGGATTCATTCTGGGAGAATAGCATTGAATATTCATGCATAGATGATGAAAGTGGTGAGCGAGGTTTGGACGGCAATGAAGCGTCCGGAGAGGAACCGACTTCAGAAGGGTGCAGCGGTGACCGGACGGAATTCTTTGCGAATCATTTTGTTATTTCATGTATTACCAAAGAGTAAATAATTCTTTTTAAGTTCATATCTTTTAAAGTTTTTGAAATAAATGTGTCTCTTTTCGCACAATCACATACAAATCATTCATTCGAAATATTGTAATCATTTTGCTGAATTACACTTAAAATGTCACAAATACAGACTTTCAGAATAATCGCTTGTGTTGATAAAAATGGTGATATTGTGCGCGGTGGGTTTTTCCTACTCGACAATAATCAACTGAAATGGTGTTA